ATATATATATATTAAAAATTAATTAAAACTGGATTATAAGGCTATTTTAAAGTGAAATATAAAGTATGAGTAGATCTGTAAAATTTTAGAAACCAGCTGTCCAAATTAATTGTTAGCATTCGAAACATACTCTCTCACATATGGGATGGACAGATTTGTTAAAGATAAAAAGGTCGGCCCTCCTTATTCTGAAGTATTTATGGGATGTATACACAATTACTTTTCTTATATTTCAATCACTCTTGAATAGGTATTCCTAGATCTTATCAGTTTAGAAGGAATCCTCTTTTATTTCAAGATTCGCATATGATATCTAAGGCTAAGGATTCAGTTCTTCTTACAAAGCGGGTAACTCTTGGTTGTATTGTATCTTTTGTAATACATTTCTACAATGGTTTAAATCTTAGTTTAACTTAGATTCTTTGATAACTTCAATCGCTAGAGGCAATGAACCCTTACTGTCGTTCCTCAATTGTCGGCAGCTTTACGTCTATTTTCATCTCATGCTAACACTATGCCATATCAATTATCGTTCGTAAGTCTCATGTCTATGAACAACAAGTCTCTAAATGACTGTCTCCAGCCAGTTCTATCTTAGACGCCCTGGAAGACTCTTTACCGTCTTTGCTTTGTTAATAACAAATTGCAATAGTTTTGGTTTTGAGAAGTCCTTCTCCCCCCCCTGCTCTTTTATTTTTTCTCCTTTCGTGGGTACTCTCAGCGTTGATAAATTTTTATTAGCCTCTCACGGGGTTGTTGTTTTATAAAAAGCGTTTTGGCGTACCAGATCACATCTCAATTTTTTATTGTTCGATTCATTTTTAAAAACTTATCTATCTGTGACACAAGATCAAATGGGACAAAGCTGGTCACATGCCATAGGAAATAAAAACGACTACTGCTCATTATACACGTAATTGGGCCCCAAAAGCATCAAGTGGCGTAGTGAAAAATTTAATAGAATGAGATATCTTCCTACAAAGTTGCCATCCTCATCATTTGAGAGTAAATGAGAATTAAAATGTTCGTTACCAATAGCAAACTTTTAGTCCTACAGTGACGTTATTCAAAAACAAACATGAATCATAATTTAATATTTTAAAAAAATTAAATTATCTTTCAAGTAAAGGGATTATTTAGGGCTGAATTTCCACTATATTCACAAAATTGTACTGATGTATCGTGTATAAATTATTGCGTTCGAATAATTAACTTCTCCCCACCTTTTCCAACAACAATTTAATACTCTCTTCATATTCGAAATCTGTTTCATCCTGAGATGGTAAATGAAACTAAACGAACAAGATAAATGCTTATTATTAAAAGTCTACTTGCTGTATTTTGGACGAAGATGGAACCGCCCTCGTGTCGTGGAGGTGTGCAATTGTGGTGCCCTTGCATTGGGTGTGGAGACGGATATTTATCAAAACAGCGTTTCGTTTCTCCATCCTGGGTTGGGCCACCATTAACACCATCCAACACTCCTCCACACCTCTCCCCACCCACGTTAGGCACAAACAGATGAGAACAGTTCGGGTCAGCTTGATTATCATTCTCCACTGAAATGAAGAACCTGTGTGGAAGGATTCATTTTAATCATAGCCTCACGCGTCTCTTGTCTTTTTGTAACTTGGCACGGTTTACTCCATCAATTGGCTCTAAAAAAATTAAAACACTCTCAGCGTATACTCCAGACGGGAAAACATCAACGAAGTTCTAGAGATGGAAATTGTTGCAAAAATTTCAGGTGTCTGGGTAATATATTTGTTTTTCAGATTGCGTTGGAAGTCCATATGGTAAAGAGCCTGTCAATCATGTTCAGTGTGTAGGGTGTCTAAAAATACAGGGTCAGTAAGATATATATGTGCTGTGTACCCTTTTTTTTTAATTACATAGGATGTGCAGAGTGATTAAAATTACACGTGAGAGGAAAAATTACTTGTATAAAGGATGTTAAAGATGTACACCTCAAAAGCGAAGAAATTATAAGGCATGTATAGAGAGAACGGATAATCAATTCTTTTTTTCCTACTGTGAGTAAAATATATATCTGTTTTCTCCCTGGAATTAGTATTTTTGTATTTTCTTATGGACAAGGGAGTGAATGGCACAGGTGCATATTTGTACGAATAAGCACTCGATAACTGACGCTTTCTTAGAAAAATTCAGATGCTATTTCCCACATTTCCTTGTTTCTTACACCTTACCAGTAGAGTTACAAAGTGAAATATAGACAAGAACAGCTTTAATCATGGAC